TTTCCTGAAGCTGTAGTGGATAACATCAGCTCTGGACCACCAAACAGACACCATTAGCTTTTTTTGATGAATATTTGGTTTTGTACTATGTTTCAGCACTTCATCTTTATCCAACCATTGTGCCAAATGCTTGTGATCATCAAAAAGAATACATTTTTCATCACATGTTGTTACAATATGGTACAGAAATGGTTCACTTTTATGTCATGACAGCAAAGAAAGGCAAGCTTCAAGACGATTTTTCTGCTGATGCTCATTTAATTCATGCAGAATCCATCTATCCACCTTCTTTATCTTGCCGATTTGTTTCAAATGGTCCAGTGTTGTTGGAATAATAACGTCAAACCTTGCTGCTAATTCATGTGTAGGTTGAGATGGAATCGCTTCCACTACAGCTTTCAACTCATCATTATCCACTTTGGTCTCAGGTTGCCCATGTGACTCATTTTCAAGATTAAAATCAATAGAACAGAACTTCTCAAACCATGGACGTACTGTGTGTTCATTAGCCACATCCATCCCAAACACTTTGTTGACATTTCTAGCTGTCTGTGCTGCATTTGTTCCATGGTGGAACTCATATTTGAAAATAACACGAGTTTTTGACTTATCCATGGTTTCACAAAAATTGCTCTAAAAAAAATTTTGAGAGATAATCACAAGCCAAAATGTGCATTTGAAAGACTCAGGATGCAACTTCACAGTAAACATAAAACAAAAAGTGTTGAAGTGAAATGTCAGAGATATCAACCGTCAAACTTAGTACTTAAAGAATTCAGACATTTCGGACTTAATAACCTAATTCAGAAGTAAAAATACTGCTCCCTCTCCACCATCACCATCAAATACCCCACTTACATTCTTAGAGCAGCTACTGTTAAGTCTTTCAGATGTGTTCTATGCATATACAGGTGTATATGTGTGGATATGCATAGGAGTATATGATGGAATTGTGCGCACATGTATGCAGATCTGTATATATCCTCTTTAAAAATACTAATACTGTACTTTTCTATGGTGTTTTCAATGAGTTAAATATGTTCTTCCCCATATACATTGAGGAAAAGTAGATAAATTGATGCACACATTAAAAATATAACTGCATACTTTCTTTTCTTTCCGCATATTTATCTGAAGTTTTTGCAGCTATTCTAGTGGTATAGATTAAAGGTAAAATTTCTTTAGTTTAATTACAGATTATATTTTAAAACCTTTTTACAAAAACAGAAATTTTTAATTTGTGTGGAAGATTTTACCCTTAATATATATTCTTAGCATCTATCATACTGAAAATAGTGGGTTATCTTTGGGGAACAGGATTGTTGTGAATGTGTATGGGGGAGGGGTGAGGAGGCATAGTAGACATTCTCTTATTTCTACACTGCAATACCACATTGTTTGAGTTTTTTTTAAAGCATTGAATATCTACTTTTATTAAAATGATAGAATATATTTTTAAAACATGTAATGACATAAAGATAAATTTTTTAAAAATGTCTCAAAACTAAGCTCATTGCATGGTTTTATTAATTTTGGTTTTAGGCTTGTGCGGATGTAAGAGCCAGTTCAGTGTTTTGGCAGCAGATGGAGTTTGCGGATAGCCTCCATGGTCATCCCAAGTTGCCAGAATGGTTATCTACACATCCTTCTCATGGAAATCGAGCTGAGCAGTTGGACAGACTTATACCTCAGGTGAGCTAACACTATATAAGGTAGGAAATTATTTTTACCGTATTATCTATTTTTAATGCTGTTACTTCTTTTGCTTAGAAAAAGAGAATTCTAGCTTGTCTACTATTTTGAGTGCTATAATTATGGATTATCAATTTTCAAAGACTTTGACTGAAAAATAAAATTCTGCTTTTCCACAAGTCCTGGAGAATAAATTGCTGTGTGTAGTTGACTTTTCTGGAGGATGAAGGTTTAACCCCTTTAATATCCAGACCTTTAATTTTAATTGATCTGATGAAAGTTTAAAACTTAAGTCATATTGCTTTTGTTTTTAACATATTGATCATAATTCAGTCTTTCCTTGGTGATTTAAGCTTTTTGTTAAAAATGCAAGTTAATGAGTTGTACAAAGGTTTTGGGTCAAATGGGTGTTAATTACAATAGTGATGCCAGAATTTGTTTTCTTAGGAGAAATCTCTTCGTGTTAGTTCGTTTCTGGTTATTTATTTCTTTATAATGATATAGTGAAGCATGTGCTGTTTGGCTCTTTTTTTTGTAGAATTCATTAATGGATCAAGCTGAGGAAGCTTTGTCCCAAGTAGTTTTCACTAAGCCTTTGAAAATCTTTTGATTTGTTAACATCACTCAAAAACATTTTATGTGGCTTCCACATCAGTACAAAAGGATGTCAGGCATCTCTGAGCCAGCCTCTCTTCTGTCTCACTTGCATTAAACTTTCCGGTTGGTTATGAAAGCAGAACATTCTTTAGCAATTTAAGAATTAGTACTGGGTTATTTGCTAAATGATAACAGGACAGATCCAGGTGTGTTATAAAAGTTTCTTTCAGTATGACTTCAAATTCAGCTCAACAAATACTGAGTACCTAGCAAAAGAAAGAAATGATGCTTAGATACAGGTGATACAAAGAGAAATAAGACATTGTTCTTGATATTTGCAGGATGCTAAGATAGGTACAAAATGATTATTAATATAAAGAATATGATTTATCATAAGAAAAGTAGAAATATAGTGGTATGTGGTTTGAAGGAAGAAGAATCTGTATCTAGTTTGGGATAAGAAACTATTGATATTTATTGGTAATCTACCATTTTGTGTTCTGTTGCTGGGGAGTGAGCAAGTAACAGAACAGGCTCTGCTTTCTTAGGGCTAATATTCTAGTAAGGTAATAGAAATAATAAATAAACATATAGTATGTCAAGCAGTGATAAGCACATTGGGGAAAAATAGGTTAAATGTATTAGAGAGGGATGGGCGGCAGAGAAGGGGTACTATTCTATGTTCTGTTGTCAAGGAAGGCCTCACTGAATAGAACCTGGAAGGAAGCAGGGGAGCAGGAGCAAGTCTTATGGGTATCTGGAGGGGAAAGCCTTTCAGGCTGAGGAAGCAGCTAAAACAGAGGGCCTGAAGTGTGAGTGTTTGGTGTGTTCAAGGACTACCAAGGAAGACATTGGGGCTGAATGGAGTAAGGGAAGGGGAGAGCAGTTCAAGACGAGGTGTAGGGGACCAGACCATGAAGGAACTTTTAAGCCCATTGAAGGACTTGACTCTTACTTCAAGGGATAGGGGAAGCTGGTTGAGGGTATTGAACAGGTGAGTGACTTAATCTGACTCGTGTTTTATTGTGATCACCGGGGTCGCCGTGTGGAGAGTGGACTGTAGTGGGCAAGGGTGCAATTCAGGAGACTATTTGGGAGGCTTGCAGTAATCCTGGTAAGAGATAATGGTGGCTCGAACGAAGATATCTGGTAGTAAAAGAGTGGGAAAGAAGTGGTCCAATTCTGGGTATATTTTGAAAGGAAGGATGACAGGATTTGTTGATAGATGGTGCATACTTTGTGCCTTTCATGAGCGTTGAGAGCAGGCAGCTATGGCTTCTTAACACCTGTCTTAGTTCCTTTGGGCTGCTGTAACAGGATACCATAGACTGGGTCCCTTATAAACAACAGAAATTTATTTCTCACAGTTTTAGAGACTGGGAAGTCTTAGATCCAAGTGCCGGTGGATTTGGTGCCTGGTGAGGGCCTGATTCCCAGCTCATAGATGGCTGTCTTCTCCTTGTAGCCTCACATGGTGGCAGGGGCAAGGCAGTTCTCTGTAGCCTCTTTTATAAGGGCGTTACTCCCATTGTTGAAGGCTCTAGCCTCATGACCTAATCACCCCCCAAAGGCCCCCACCTCCTAATACTATCACATTAGGGGTTAGGATTTCAACGTAAGAATTTGGGGGCAACACAGATATTCAGTCTGTATCAACACCTGTCCTAACTAGATTTCATTTATACTCTTAATTTGAATAAAAAAGTATTTGAGAAAGAAATAGTGAAGTTTACCTGATATAATGGGTAGTAATCATTCATCTTAAAAGGCCAGTATAGGCCTGGAACATGATGTATTTTATCAGTAACTGATTTGTGCTGAGGATCACTGACGTGGAAGCCTCCTTAGTGCTGCCCAGGGACCTTATTTCACCCTGGGAGGCCTTATCTCTAATGCCATAATAACCATATTTCTCCTGGGATTTTCTTTCTATTTTTACTCAGTGAAATTGTAAAAATATGTGGTTTGTTTAAATTGGATAATGAATTCCATTAACCAACTTTTCATCAAGCCTTTTCTAAATTTTGAGTTGTCATTTCCTCATCAAATTAATGAGGATCTTCAGAGAAGTAAAAAGAAGTCTTTTTATTTTTACTTCTTTAGAGAAGTCTTTAATAACGAATCGATTAATGAGTATGAAGAAAAATGTTTGGAGAAATAAATGTTATTTGGGAGCCAATGATGAAAGAAAAAATGGGAGCCATGTTTCTTCTAAAAATAAACTATCCTAGTTTAGAAACTTAATTTGAAAACCTCATATAATTTCTTATATCCCCCCCCAAGTGATTAAATTCAATTTGAAAGTAATAAAACTCTACTGCAATATTGGGAATAATTCAGTGGTTGAAGTGAAACTGGTAGTACAAGAGTATATTGTTAATTAGAATACACAGTCATAACTCAAAGATTGGAATTACCTATTATAGGTATAATTTCTGTAATGAAAGAAAGCAGTTCCTCAGGCAGTATGTAGAATTATGTGAATCTATATATTACTAAAGACTACATTTTAAAATTATATTTTATTTAGAATTTTTTTTTCTGTTCAAGTGAGTACAATGTGATACTCTACCTAAGCCTCCTGCCCTTTGACATCACTGTGGCTAAAATGATGTACATCTTAAAGGTAGCGGAGAATACAGCTCCGGAGCACAGACATATGCAGGGCAGAGATGATGAGTTCAGAGTCATCCAAACAGAGGTGATTGTTAAAGCAATGAGAGTGGATGAACTCACCTAGGAAGTGAGTAGAGAAAAAGATCAAAGTAACAGTGTTAGGTGTTTTTCACATTTAATTGGTGTGAGGAAGACAGAGCCTGTTTTGAATCAGATTCATAGGAGGAGAACCAAGAAAGTATGATTCTGTGGTTCTGTGATGAGGACACAGTTTGGTAATTTTGATTTTTTAATTTAACTTATTGAAAATGGTATATTCTTATTTATTACTGAATTCCTTGAATAGTATCATGAAATATATTATTTCTTACCATAGTATATCAGTATGTAAGATGTTTTAAATGTATACTTTATGCATTCAACAAGTATTTATTGATCACCTGTTATGTACCAGGTTGTAGGTGTTATCAGTGATGTCAACTAAATATTAGTAGATACAAATCCCTGTCCTTGTAAAGCTGATTGTGCAGTAAAGGGAGATAGATAATAAGTGGGGACGGGCAGGGGGAGACGGTTCTCTGGTTTCTCTTCTTATGAGGACACTAATCCTATTGGATTAGGGCCCACCCTTATGACATCATTTAACCTTAATTACCTCTTCATAGGCTCTATCTCCAAATACAGTTACACTGGGAGTTAGGGCTTCAAAGTATGAATTTTGGGGGAGCACAGCTCAGTCCATAGCACACAGGTAATATGTGAGCAGAGATGGCAGAGGTGCTGGAACAGCAGTTTGCAATGGTGTTGATCAGAGGTTTCACTGAGAAGCTGATACTTGATCACAGGCTTGGAATAAGTGAAGCAGTGAGCCTTGTGGTGCCTGGGGGAAGAACCTTCTGGCAGAGGGAGGCTCTGAGGCTGGAGAAACAGTGAGGAAGTTAGTATGGCTAGAGTGGGCTAAGCAAGGGAAGGAGGAGGGCGTGGGCCTTGTAGCCCGTGTGAGGACTTTTGGTTACAGATGGGACGATAGTGGAAGGTTTTGAGCAGAGGACTGGAGGAGTGATGGGATCTGACTTATGTTTGAAACGGACATGATCTACAGCTCCTGCAAAGCAGTGCAATTGTGTGATTTTGGAGTATTTTAGCATACTATATATTTGGAAAATAGACTAGTTCATTTCTTATTTCATTTTAAAATCAAGATAACACCCCCAAATAAGAAAAAAAAAAAACCCTTGCTTTTTTAAAATGTGAATTCTGAGAAAATATATAAATACCTAGTTAAATGTAATTTTGTGATCCACTAGCATTTAAAAAAGATAAATATAGGTTTATAGTAATAATATTATTGGTAGTTAATAAGCTGATGTTATTTTATTTATTTGAAATAATCAGTTAAATTTAGGAAACATACCCCACATATTTTGGTTACCATAACAACTTGGGTGAAAAATTAAGAAACAGATGTTTTATCAACCTGTTGATGTTTAATAGTATGACAGTTTTAAAATTATGGTTACATTGTTCAGACTTTAAGTGTATTATAATTTGTCTTTGAAAGAGATACTTTAGTTAACATTTTTCCTATAAGAATCATTATAACATGAATAGATTTGAATAAGGGAAATTGACATGAAAGATGTATTTTAAAACTGAAAGCATTTAGACCAAATTTTTAAATTCTCTATTTCTCTCATCAGCTCTCTCATTGCCATCTCCTCTTTGTGGGGTGAAGGGGATGAAGAATGATAGAATATATAGGAAAAACATTTAATTTGAAGGAATTA